GTAATTACTTAGCAGTTTGAAAGTGAAAATGAGTCTCTTATTAACAGCAATCTATCCAGAAACAAAGAGCAAGGATCTCAGTTCTGATGACATGTGTTTCCCTTTAACACACAAGACCTAGAATTTGGAAACAGCTTTGGGGGGCAGCTACTACTTCTTTATTGCCTGTGAAAATTGGAGGGAAAGAACTGGAAGAAAGCAGAACATTGAGGATAAAGAGAGAAAGGAATTCTGTCCTAGTGGGAATTATTCAGTGTATTGTTTCTTTAAAGATAAGCACATAGAAATCCAGAAAGTGCCATTGAGTTGTAGCCAGACTCACATAGGTGGAACGATAAGATTGTTGATTATTATTAAAATTGATTTGATGATCTCACAACATCAAGGATTCTGAAACAAGTAAATATACATAATTCTGGTGCTATGCATGATTAAAATTTTAAATATATCTGAACATAAGAGCAATGAACTTCGAGAAAAATGGGGTAGCGTTAAAACCTCTTTAGACTTAATGTTATTGCCTCAGCTATGTTTCTACAGTACTCTCATTATATAAAATATCCTTATATAAAGTGGTAGATCCTAAGTTTTGTGAGAACATCACATTTCCTCCCAGTCTTTAACACACTATCCTGGCCTGGCTAGTTGTTGAATGAGTTTGTTCAATGCTCAGAGGAAGGAAGTAGAGACATTCAGTGATTACAGGAGATACCTGCTCAGAAGTCTGTTTCAGTCAACCATAAGATGTTTGCCTATGGCTAGGTGGTCCCGTCTTGGTGGTGTGTAAGTAGTTCATGTACTTATTGGGCCCAGAGCTGTCCTCTCTATAGGCTGCCAACCCTGCATTGCATTTGTGTACCAGAAGATAAAAATATTTCTAATAGCAGAATTTAGACATAATTTAAAATGATGAGGTTTTTCTTATGTAAAATATACATGGCAAAATATAACTGTCTTAGTATCTGCATCAGTTATCCATACTTCTCCTGAGCCCCAGTAAGCAGACATTTTAGTGCTGACAGTAGCTGGAGGAAAAGTGAGGTAGAAAGAACTGAGGTGCCCATGTTGGGGCTATGGGTGGGTAGGGGAGGTGCCAGTTCACACTGGCAGGACTTTCCTCTGTGAATCAGCCAGTGCTCTCAGATCCTGGGTGCTTTTGGAAGCCAGGTATCTGCCTGGATGCGGTGCAGGGAAGAGATCTGGAAAGTGTCCAAGGCTTCTGATATGAAGGGCTTTCAAAACCAGCAAGGCGAGACTCTGGTCAATTCATCACTTCATAAAGAGCCATAATAGAGACTAGCATAGCTGTAATGTTATCCAGCTTGCTTAAACCAGTGAGCACTTGGGCTGCTGGGTTCTACTCTGCTGGAGCTGCAGAGAATTGTTGGGCATCATAATTAAGTGACGTGGGCCTAAGAACATCTGTTGCTATTGCAAAGTCTTCATAAGCAATTCTCAACACAAAAAGAAGCAGCTTTTACAGATGGTGCAGCTGCATGAGCAGAGTACAGGAAAGGGTGAGATGGGAGAGGGGCCTCTGTATGGCGCAGAGATAAAACATTCTTCTCAAAATGCCCACAATCCTTGGTAATTTCTTCCTGTTGGTAGAATGAAAGATTACAGGATTTTTTTTTTGGATTCACCTAAAATGAAATAAGTGTGTGTTTGGATTCTTGCTTAGTACGTGGGTGCATCCTTCATGTTTTGACCTGTTCTGGTGTGGAATAAGTAAGCTGCATTTGCAGCATGTGTGAATTTCCCCCACCCCCAACACGCACCCTTTTCAGCCTAGCAGATGGTACATTTTGTGGCTGCCAGTTCTATCATAATGTGGTTGCAGAAAATAGAAAGCAAAGCAACATGAAGACCCCTGATAGGACACAGCTGGGGTTGGGAGACAGCTTGTGAATCTATTGGTGGCGACCAGAGAGTTAGTCTAAGCTGGACCACAGAATGGTTACCTGCCTGGTGGAGTAAGACTGATGTTGAGGCCTATTATTATAACCAGAATCAGTATACCTGGGCATTAGGAGCAGAGAGCGTGGAATAAAGTCTTACTTCTGTTCTAGGCAACTGGTCCAAGCCTGCCTGCAATGGTGAGGCGTTGCTAATGACCACTGGATGCTCGCTGCATTGGTGGTTAGTGTGTGTTGGTGGCCTTTTCCGGGTCTGACTAGACAAATTATCACACCTGTTTATTCTCTTGACACACAAAGTCTCAGTGACAACTGTGGCACTGCATCTCGTACTTTCAGAAAAGAAACACAAAATTAATTCAAAAGTTTTATACCAGATATATTTCATTTGGCAGTCACGACTCAGGCCTTTGAGTGTACCCAGAAATTAGGTTTTCTTTTGTGCCTTGGACCATACCAAGGATAGCAAAGCTTTTAGAGCTTTCAGTGATAACAGAGAGTCTGCTGCGGCACGCCTGCCGTAGGTTCCCCAGCACTGGTCTGGACTGTTCATTGTTGGTGGGAAAGTCCAAAACCAATAGGGGCTGATTCTAGAAAACAAGGTGAACATTCCTGAAACAGCCGGCCCGCAATCTCAGAATTGAAGGCTGTACTGTCTGAGTGGTCTACTTGGATGGTGGAGATTATGTGAGAATCCAGAACTCTTGGTGTTGAGCATTTTAAACACCAAATGTTTAAATGTAGTTTATCTGTTAAAGGGGAGCTGGAAACTTGGTTAGGTGGAATTGTTTTTGTTTTTACAGAGGATGGATTTCCACAGGAAACCTCAATGAAAAAGATACGCCTTCTCTTTTAGGAAATGATCTTTGGTCCAGCCTGATTCATTTTGGGGCTGAAGAGGTTTAAATGAGAATTTGATAACCACCTTTGCAGTGTCAGCACTGTGGACCTGTTTATGTACTGTACTCCTGCCAGGGTGGATTAAACCGTATGAACAGAGATGGGCTTTTTAACCTTTCCAGTTTAGGGACAAAAGGGGGAAACTAAACTGATCGCTTCTTACTTTTTTATTTTTAAAATATTTTAAAACTGCAGGGGTCTGGGGATTTGGCTCAGTGGTTCTGCTGCCTCACAAGCGCAAGGACCATAGTTCGATCCCTGGTACCAATTAAAAAAAACTGCAGAGAAGGGCAGAAAAATAACATATACCCACCGCAAGGAATTAACTGAACTTTTTTTGAAATAAAGGATGCTGCAGATAAAATTGCAGATCTCCTGTACCATTCATCCCCAGTCCCACCCCCCTACTCTGTCTCCCAAGTGAAACCGCTGCCATAAATTATGTATCTTTCCAATTCATGATCTTATATTTTTGTATATACTATCTATATCATGACTGTATATAATATAAATACATGAAATATTTGTATGCTTAAGTTGTCATTTGATATCTATTCTGCTAATCCTTTGTAGAGATGTATTAATGCCTATATATATATGTGTGTGTGTGTATACATATAGCTTTAATTTGTTCCTTTGCACTGCTCTGTAGTACAGTATATGAATATGCCATGGTATACTGTTATGATAAATGTTGAACATTTTGTACAGATCACCCTGTACACATTACTAGAAATTCTCTGGGTACCTACCCTAGGTACAGGATTGCTGTCACAGGGGAGTACATTTTCCATTTTGGTAGAAGTTCATTTCCAGAGTAGTTATGCTAATTTATATTTCCACCAGAAGAATGTGAGTTGCCAGGTTTTAATATCAGATTTTTTTTCAGTTTTTTGCTACTATAACAGATGATACTATCTCTCTGTTTGAATTTTCATTTTTTAAACTACCAATGCCATCATAATTTTTTAGCCATTGAAATTTGAAATTTAAAATATCCAATGAGGTGAAATCCCAATATGTTTATCTGGTGCATTAGCAGTCAGCTATAGCTTGCAGTTGTGCTCTATTTGTACTTATTTCTTACTGAATAAAGTATTCCCAGGAAATTCAGTTCTTTTGTAGCACTGAGGATTGAACCCAGGGGTGCTCTGGCACTGAGCTCAGGGAGCTTCAGCCCTTTCTATTTTTTATTTTGAGATATGGTCTTGCTAAGTTGCCCCAGCTGGCCTCATACTTGTGATCTTCCTGTCTCAGCCTCTTGGGTACTGGGATTATGTGCCACCACACCTGGCAACTTTTATATTATTACCCTGATAGTTAAAATCACTCTTTAGAGTTTTAGGTACGTTTGATGAAATAGCTCTACAATGTATTATACCTTCTCAGTTTTATGGAATTCAAGGTAAATTGAATTCAGTTCTCATAAGGAAAATTTGGTTTTTCAAAACATCATTAATATCTTCAGGGCATTTGAAATATGAGATACTTGGATCTATATCAGACACTCTAAAAGGTCTTCCTGGTTTAGTATATTTTCCTTTTATGGTTTTTCTCCTAAAGTCTTTTCAGTGAGTCCTTCTATCTTTTAAAATAAAAAAATCAGTTTATAAAAATAATACATGCTTATTCCGGAAGACTTTACTTTCTCTCCTTGTACTTTGCTACCTTCTTCTGTTCCCAGTTCTGAGGACACAGCGTCACTTCCCTTGGGTGAGCGAGTGTGTGGGCTGTGTGGTGGCCTGTGGCCTGTGGCCCTCATTGGGCTGCCTTTCCTTGCACTTCCCTGAATGTGCCACTGTTATGCAGAGTCCAAGCTGGGGGGAACCTGACTTGGGGGTGATCAGGATGCTCACTGCTTTAGCCTTCTCCGAAAGAGGCACAAACATGCTCTTCAAGAATGAGTTCACTTTAACTCAGGATGTAAAATTGGCCCGTTACTGAGGAGATAGTGAGCAGTAGGGTTACTCGTTTTCTTAGAAGGTCTCAGAAAATTGGCCAGATACATAGTGGTACGAACATTGTGCTAGCTGAGCAGTGCAAATACATGCACTTCTGGTGCTTTTTGAAAGTGTTTTGTTTGGGTCTCAGAAAATTGCTGCTGCTTATAAGTTTACTCTTTTCACATTTCTAATCTTAAAATTTATAGTACAAATTTAACATTTCATTTTTTTTTCATTTCAGTGTGACAAAATTAGGCAAGAACGAGATGAAGCTGTTAAAAAACTGGAAGAATTTCAGAAAAGTATGTAAGCATTTCAGTGGAATTATTGTAAATACATAACTATTTGCGGATTATGTGAGTAAATAAATGCCCTATTAGTTGCTGATGCATTGGTTATACGATCCAGAAGGCAAAAACTGTCTTCCTGTTTGTCCAAAATGATCTGGCATTAGTGTGAATTTTAAAGAAATGAAATAAGCATTATTATTTTATGAGGGTATTATTTTAAAAGTTTGACCTTTTTATAAGAAAACATTACTAAGCAAGAAGTTAAAGGAGAATAATTTTACTATATTACATTGACTCTTTGAGAAAAGCCAAAGATAGTATTTTGTTTTTTATTCGTGTAAAATATGTTTTTATTAAAGAGTGCATATTTTGCATTCAGTTTTATAGCCTGCCACTTTCAGTAAACAGTATATTATCTTCTTCGCATGTCAGTAAAGATGTACATTAGTTTTAATTGTTGCTCATAGCATTCCATTCTATAATAGTACCATAACTTACTTATTCCTTTATTGATAGATTTCTGGTTAACTATTATAAATAATGCCATGGCAAGTGCAGTACTTTTATATATACAGCTTTTCAGTAGTCTGATTAGTTTTCTAAGTTGGTTTGTTTGTTTTTTTGTTTGGGGTATCAAACTCAGGACCTCAGGCTTGCCTGGCAGGCACTGTGCCGCTGAGGTAGATCCCCAGCCCATTAGTTTTTTAGGTTAATTCATAAGAAAGGAATTATACTTGACTTTTACTATACAGCTTTGGGGTTGATAGTACTGTATTATCAGCTTAATACTTAACAGGGACTAAGAGGGTAGATCTTACGTTAAATGTTTTAAACAAATAAATAAATAAATGGATTGTAGCTCGTTGATTGAGTGCTTGCCTAGCGTGTGTGAGTCCCTGGGTTCTCTCCCTAGTGCTACAAATAGATCAACAAATAAATAAACAAATAGACAAGTAAATAGGGTAGGAAGAAACTTTGGGAGATAATAGATATGCCTGTGGTTTTGATGGTGGCGGTGGTTTCACGAGTATATACTTCTCTCCAAACTCATCAAGTTGTATGTGTTAAATATGTACAGCTTTTTACATGCCACTTATGCCTCAATTAAATGGCTTTTAAAAGAGAAAAGCAGTTATAGGTTCACAGTACTTGGTCATTTTTAAGAGTTTGAATGTTTGAAGTAGACCTCTCACCTAGGAAAATTGTATTCCTGCAAAAGCTATAATAATCTTCTTCTGAACTTTCGCAGTGTTCTTGTTTTATATGACATAAATCTGTTATTTATCCCCCAAGATAGAACATAGCTGATCAGACCCAGAAGTGTCAGATGAGCAGAGAGCCAGACCATAGTGGGGAGTGACTCCCTCCCTTGGAAGTATGACCTTCTCTGTCATTCTGCTGTGTCAGGCAGGCTATTTGATTATATCATGAAGTGTTGACTTGATTACTACACAACAAAACATTTTATTCTTCTGGAAGGTAGAACAGCTATAAAATGCAGCATTACAGTTAAGTTTCAATAGCTAGTTTATTTCAGCATCCGACTGTGACAAAGAAAATCTAAGTGTAATCATGCAGATATTACATATCTTTGAAGGCCGACGTGCTATATGATAGGAATCCCTCTTGTTTGTGAATGTGTCAATTGCAGTTGTGAGGGACTTTCTCCTTCCCTAGTGCAGGATTCATGGAGTACACTTACATTTGTGCTGATAGCCATTACCTCTGAGAGAGCCCCTTGCCATTGTTGCCAATTAATGTGCCTGAATTATTGATGGTGGATTGGTATACTGTGTGTGTACAGTGGGGATGGTTCGCATTTCTTTTTTTTTTTTGCCTTGAATACAACTAGTAATTTTTAATACGTGGGAATGGCACAGTCAAGATAATAAACTAAAGGCAGCAAAACAAAGAATTAGAAAAATAAGCATATTAGAAGTTATTCATGTTTAATGCTTAAAAGTCTGAATGCACAATCTGCCATTATAGAAGTACTGGTGGTCAATAAAGTGCATTAGAACTATGTACAATGCACAGTTTAGTATCAAAATCTTTCTACACTATAGAGTTTTACATTCATGTTTCTTATGGATGGACTTACTATAAAATGTTTGATTTAAGCAGGTAGTACGGATTTTGCCTCCTACCTTTATATTTGCAAAAATGGAAGCTACTTCCCCATAACTTTTTAAGTAACATATAAACTCTTTTTTTTTTTTTTGGTAGCAGGGCTCGAACTCGGGACCTTGTACTTGTGAGGCAAGTGGAGGAACCACTGAGCTAAATCCCCTGCCCTAAACTCTTTTATCTACTGTTTCCCTTCTTTCTTTCTCTTTTCTAAATACCTTGGATAGTTTAAAAAGCTTATTATTTTTTTCCTTGTCACCAAGTCACATTAGGACCCCAAAGAATTAATGGGAAGGTTGGTACAACATTCTCTTGCTGTATGCATTTAATTTTTACCTTTACCAAGCCTGTTTAACTAAATTTTGCATGGCTGAAAAACAGAGTGCTAACTCTACTCAGTCTCAAAGGAAAGGGAAAATGGGGAATAAGAAAACTTGAAGTATTTCTTTAAAAATTGCATCTGAGACTAAAGGTTCATAGCTTTTGAGCAGAGGATAGAATTTCAGTTTATGGCTGCATTTTTCACCAGTGGAGAACCCATTTTGGTGTGGCTACATGTAACCCTGGGCATGTTTCTTCATCAGTAAAATTGGGATAAATGACCTTGCTTTACAGGTTTTTTGAGGCTAAAAATGAGATCAATCTACATAAAACATGCTTCACATGGTACCTGGCATATTAGGTGTTTAATAAATGTGAGTTGCTGCCATCACCATGTTACCTACCCGATGTGTCAGGGTTTCATTCAGGGTTAGGAGTTCATAGCATGAGCCTTTACCAAGTCCATCGTGTGTATGAGTCTGCACATTTGGAGAGCTCTATGGCAGTTTCTTTTGGTGCAGAGTTGGAATCTAAAATCCCTGTAAGGTTTACGTATCAGGCCTTGCCCTGGAAGTATGGCGAGTGCAGCTGAGTAAGGCTCAGGAAGAGCTTTGTCAGGTCAGAGAGCTCTTTCCTCTCTGCTTAGCAGGCTTTTCGTAGGGTCCATATGTTTCCATCCATATTTCCATGTCATCCTTAGCCTTCTGTCAGCCCCGTTCCCTGCAGCCTAGTCTTTTTACACAAAGAACACCACCGTGGAGCAAGCCACCATGTGTCTAGAAAGCCAGAGTCTTGTGCAAGGAGAACAAACAGAATCCTTTCATATGTTTAAGCTTACAGCATTAGATCCCGTGTTCTGTTTTAGGACACACAGGGTCTCCTACACGTGTGCCAACTTCCTGGCTGTTTTCTTATCACATGAAAAGCCTTCTGCATCATCTGCTATTGAAGAAGAATCTGTGTTATGTTCACCATGTACGGTTCAGAGAGATCCTGCATCTATGCACGGTGGGCAGTGGAGAGGAGTTTTGCTCAGGAAGCAACATTAGTCATTTCTGGTGACACCTTTAACAAATTGAAAAGGGCTCTGGAAACCCAGAGTCACCTAGACATGGGTTTGGCCGGGCTTTAGAAGTTAGGACTCTGGGATTTGGGACAGGTCACTTAATTCCTCTGGGCCTCAGTACCATCAAGTAAAAAAGTTCCGTTACGAGACCTGCTTTGTAGACTGCTGTGAGGTTTCGTAGAAAAACACAGGTAAAAGCTTGAGCACAAAGCTGGACACATGGTCAGGTCTTTAAAATTTCTTTCAAGGTGAGAAAATAGTACAATGAACCTTCATAGATCTATCAGCTGGTTTCAGTAATTATCAAGTCATACCTACACACCTACTCTTACTGAAATCATATTACTTTAAAGTTAATACTAGTCATCATATCATTTTAGTATTTATTGGCTATAAATATCTCAATACGAATTTCTGGAAGATTGGTTTTTTTAAAAAAAATTATTGCTGGGGATTTAGCCCAGTGGTTCCAGCACCTGCCTTGCAAGCTCAAGGTCCTGAGTTCGATCCCTGATACCAAAAAAAAAAAAAAAAAAAAAAGACCAAAAGCAAAATAAAAGAATTAAAATGTCAAATTAAAAACAAAATTTTGAGTGCCTTTACTTAAAGCTCATCTTTTTTCTTTTCTAAATCCCATGTCATTCAAAAGTACAAATGTCATAGGTATAATGGCCATGAATCATGGATATTATGATGTAAGCCCAAAGCTAGCTCCATAAAGCAAGTCATTACCAAGATATGGGGAATGAGGGAAGGAGAGGAGGGAAAGGGGATGAAAAAAGAATTAAGATGTGTTATGTGCATGGACCAACTCCCCACAAGGAATCTAATCATTAGGTACTGCAAATGTGTACTAATAAAAAACAGTAAGCAGCTGAAGTTTTTGAAACCTCTATTCTTTGTGGCCGGGAAAGTGGCTCAGTGATGTCACACCTGCTTGGCAAGTGTAAGGTCCTGAGTTCAATCCCTGGTACTGCAAAAACCAAACCAAACCAAAAAAAACCTTTATTCTTTGAAAGCGGAAACTAAATGTACACATCAAAAATATTTCTATTTGAGGGCTGGAGATTTAGCTCAGTGGCACCGTGCAAGGTCCTGAGTTCCATCCCTGGTACTGGGGAAAAAAAAATTCTGTTTGCATCATGCGAGCTGACTTCTGGGTTTTGAAATGGGGGTCACGTATTTTAAAGATATATATGGCCTTAGAACCTAGAAAGTTGATAAGGGTTCTATGCTACCAATTTAGCAATGGGATAATTTCTTAAACTAAAAATTGAAGTACAATTTGAATATGTATTTTATTGCCTGTTTTTGGTGGTAGTGGGGAGAGAACCAGGGTCTTCGCACTGAGCTATATCCCCTGCTCTTTTTACTTTTTATTTTGAGACAGGGTCTTGCTAAGTCAGTAAACTGGCCAGGCTGGGTTTGAACTTGCAGTCCTCCTGCCTCAATCTCCCAGAGTATACCATTCCCTCTTTGAGGAAGAAACAAAAACCCACCTGATGGAGTATACCACATCACAACTGGAGGAAATGTGGGCGAGTGCTCCCTAGCCAACTTTATCAAGTTAAATCACTGGGCAGCTGTTTACAAAATGCTTAGAAAATACCCCCTGCCCATCATTTTTTGCTAGGCCTGAATCTTGCTACCACAAATGATTTTTCTTACTCTTTCATGAGCAAGAATGTTATTGAATAAAAAGTCAAATTCCTATGAAAAATGCAGAGTGTTTATGTTTTTGTTATGAGAGTAGAAATACCAGATTGCGGCAGAAGATGTCAAGTAGTTAAGGCTAAAAATTCAAAGTAATATTTGATGTTGTAAAAATTGTATAGGTTTCTTTTCTCTTTCCTTCACATTTTTTGAAGAACCTACCTTGTAAACATAGTGATAAAATGCCAGGAATATTAGGATTTTAAAGAAATAATAGAGCCTATTATTTAAACTACAATATAAAAGGCAATTATATTGATGAAGAGCTACATGGGCTTTGTGTGTGTGAATGAACTTGGCCTGTGTTCAGCTTCTATTTGTTCTTCTGGCATAAACACATATTGTGTGTGATTCCAGTTTAATGGGGACCCGTTTGTATGCCAAGCAGCTGCATTTTAGGACTTATTGCGTGATTTCATAGCTCTCTGAAAATTGGTTCTATTCAGAACAAGAGATAGAAGAGGACAAGGGGGGTGGGGGGGAGCTTCAACACACAATCATTTCTTTTCAATTGGAGCCAGAAAGGTTGATGACAACATGACCATTGTGTTATAATGATAAGACCACTAAGGCATCTGTACCTCTCATCAAGGCTTTCACACCACAGCAGATACAATTTAATTCACTGCTCTGTCAGCAGTGCTGATACCATTATGCCGTCTGTCTCCACAGTTATAATCACTGTCCTCTGAGAAATGCGGTTGAAATGATCTTGAGCAGTCAAAGAAACTCTCAATTAAGGCTGCCACTTCCAATGTGTCAGATTGTGTCTTAGGCACTTGGTACAATTTTCACTTCCAATCCTGTTTATTTACAATGTCTACCAGTAATTACGCTTAACGTGTCATTTAGTGAGGGGGGCCCCTGCCAAGCCGATTGTTGGGTGCTGCTGTACCATTGAGTGGGAGTTTCTCGAAGTCAATGCCATCAGCAGCTTTTAGGCCCTGATGGGATGCAGTAGTAATGTTGATAATGCAAGTATCGTGCTCATCAAGTCATAATTAGATGCCACTCAAATGTGCCACTTGTAATAACAGTGTTGATTCATGTTTTTCTCGGTGACTGCAACTACTAATTAGTTAAGTGGTTTTTGGTTGGCCTGCATTTGCGGCAGATTATTATTACCCCTGAAAAAATGTCAAGGTTAGAGATGTTTCTGGCCATTTAGTGCTGCTTTATGAATTTGAATATTAACATAATAAGAACTTTGGACAGACTTAGGAAGTAATACATTTTTGTATTTAATTTGGAGAGAAAATTTTCCCCTGAGTTTAATCATAATTGCAGGTTAATTAAGCTTAAATGAAGCAAAAGTAATCTCTTTTTGTGTTATGTGAGCCCAGCGCTTTTTGCCTAACTTTGTTGGGTTTCACATTTTGGGTTCTCCTTAATTTTTTTTTTTTTAAGCCAAACAAATGTCAATAAGTATACATGTCTACAGATAGGTTTGCAATTCTGAGAATTTTTCTCTAACCAGAAATATAGACTAGAGGAATTGGTACCTTTCTTAATTGTTCAAGTTTCAAGTTACTTTGTATCTTTGAATCTCAATTTGCATGAACAAATTAAAAATTAATTTTTCGGATGTTGGTAAAAATAACAAGATTTAGTTTTTCTTCTAATCTTGCTGACAGTCTATGATGCAAGAAATAATTTATCAGCATTTGCTTTTAGCATCACATACTGTAGTACATAAATCTCAGTGCTACACTTCTCTGCCCTAGAATTTATAATATAACAGTAACTAGTTTGTCACTATTAAAAACTGGTACTGTAATACTTAGCTAAGCTGCTTTATTGTTATTTTAGTCTTAAGATCAATTTAAGATTTATTTTGTATTAGCTAATTTTCTTTATTATATCTATATGTTATATCTTTCTAAGAAAAGGAAGCCATGTTGTCACTCTTTGGTTATGGGAATCTTTTGTTTAACATATATATGTCTATGGGTGCATATATAGCTACCTAGAAAGCAGAGACTTAAAAACTCCTAAAGAACTTTGCAAAAATGTATGTAATAGTGGTGAAGGTTCTTTGTTGTGTTCTTTTTTTCTTTCTACATTGGAATATTAGCTAAGTTTAATTAGGACAACTTCTTAGAAACTTTTTTTCCAGTGATGGCTAAAGGTCTGGCTAGAGAAAGAATTGAAGTATTCTTAATCATGGGACGATGCGTGGGCTTCTGGAATAGCTGACTAATCTCTGAATGCTGAGACTTTTTTTTCCCCCTCATTCCTAGTTTCTCACATGGTTATAGAGGAAGTTAATTTCATGCAAAACCATCTTGAAATAGAGAAGACTTGTCGAGAAAGTGCAGAAGCTTTGGCAACAAAGGTGAGCCTGTTCAAATGAAGGGATTTTACCTGAGCTCATTTTATTTCAATTTGATTGTCTAGAGTGGCTTCTATCTTATTTTGGGTTTTCAGTTTTCATTTAATCACTTGTCCACTCTGCTGATGAGGAAAGTGTTGTAAGTCTCCAAATCCTGGAACGTCATTATGTAAATATCTGCCTTAATGCAAAGGTTATTTTGATGATAAAAGAAGCATTTATATGTCTGTATTGCAGCCTTTGTGCTTTGTGTTTTTGTTTGTGTTTGCCTGTGAGAAATGGTCCTAGAATAGTTTGTTGAACTGGATTTCCCAAATGTGTCTGCATTTAGTTAAAATCTTAACCAAGTTGAAAACTAAACTAGTGTGGCACAAAAGAGCGGTGAATGTTTTGTGCTTGGATCCCATGTAAAAGTCAGCCTCAGCCCTTGCCTTTCAGGTGATTATTTGTGAAAGCCAAGCGAGTGCATGTGAAAGGTGACCTCTAGTGTGCCGCTGATTGCTTCTAGCTGATGAATTTATCAAGTGTGTAATTTTCTATATTTGGTCTCATCAGAAGTACATTATTATTAAAGAATGTTTTTATCTGTGTCTTATGTATTTTGGGTTGGGTAAAATGCATCTGAACCACTTCTTCAGAAAATGGATTACAGCAATTTTCAACCAAATTTCATTAGGGATGCTGGTTTTGTTTCTTTTTCCTCCCCCTGATCCCATCACCCACCTCCAAAGTATTTCTTTGGATGTGACTGTAATGCTACTACCAATAAATAAAAAAGATAAATTTAATTTGTATGCATTAGCAGTGTGCTTGCTGGAGGTATTTGTTTAATTGTTTGCATACCGACACTGCATTAGAATTCATAAGATAGTCAATCAGAACCTAACTAAGAATATAAATGTATGTGTGTAACTTCTCTCCCATTACTTGTCTGACAAATGCATAGCAATGTAGGCTCTAGCTTTAAAAGCAGTGATAGCATGGGAACTGTCATATCTGTACCTCACTGGAGTTCAGCAGTTTGTGGTGTTGTATGAATTCACTTTTTATTTCTTTTGGAACAAGAAGAGGAAAAAATGTATTTGAAACAGACTAGTTGCTCTGAGTCTTCTGGAGCCTCCGGATAGTTTGTATCTTCTGTTGTTATCGGCAAATTGATGTTGCTGTAGGACATCCAGCAGGACACTGGGTCCCTCTCCGGATGGGCTGAGTTTGTTCTTGAGAAGCAAAGGCATAGGGGGGCAATGAAAACAAATTTTATTCCTGGTTGTGCCATTTGTGGCATGTGTGACTTTGGATAGGTTAGTTCTGCTCGCTGAACTGCAGAGCTTCTCCTTACATGGCAAGATGGAATCCGATCAGGACTGGTGTGAGAGTGGGGTGCACACTGGGGTGAGCTTTTCTTTTTACAGGATGACCCTTAATTGTTTCTTGCGGATGCAATATGAGCTCATGAGGCCTGGAATAAAAAAGCAAACAACAGCAACAGTGACAAATGGAGTCAAAAGCTACAGATGCACTTGGAATGCAAAATTTGGAAGCTTCGTTATATATGTGATCCTTAAGTGATAACAGCACATTCTGTTTTAAGTATCAGTTATTATCATTTTTGAAAGTAGGCCTCATTTTCTGAACAGCAGAGTTTTTATAGTTTATTTTTCTATATCCTTGCCATCAAATTAATGACAAATGGAATATTTAATTTTTTGGGGTGCAATTTAACCTCATAATTTTCTGTCTTAAAAAATTTTGTTAGTTATTTTAGTTGTACAGAATAGTGGGTTGAACCCAGAACCTTTACACTGAGTTACATCCCCAGCCTTTCCTCTGCCTTTGTTTTTGAGACAGTGTCTGCCTAAGTCCGTAAGTTGCCCATGCTGGGCTTAAACCTGCAGTCCTCCTACCTCAGCCTCCCAGAATGCTGGGATTACAGGTGTGTGACACTATGCCTGGCTGACTTCATAATTTTCCTAAAAACAAGTGTGGATATTTTACTTTTGCTAAAATGCCTGGGTTGAACTGATAGACATAGGCCAATTATTTTAAGTTGTATGATCCAAAGCCATTTAGTTTGCTTACTTCGTTTCTTTATATAGTCATTAAATGTAAATGCCCAATGTAAAAGCCACTTAAATTTTAATATAGTAGTAGGTTCAGTTGTTGTAGGGCCATGAAAAATTTATTTTGCCTTGTGATGTAGAAGGGTTCCCAACAACAAGTTGCATACTATTACCTGTAACTTGATGAGTACTGTAGTAATATTGCTTAGCTAAAATTTGTGAATCCAGAATTCTCGAAAATGTCCATGGTAGTACTCACATAAGCCTTAATGAATATGTCTTCTATTTCTTCTTTCAAAATATGAAAATGATATTTCAGAGAAGACTTAGGAAATTTTCTGGTTGGCATTTTTTTTTTTTTTAGCAAATGAATGTATTAGAGTAGTGGTGTTGCAGACAGATAGTAACTGATGCACTTTGGTGCCTAGTTTGATAGACACATTAATTCTTTTGAGGACAGAATTGTTAACTGTCAAATATTATTGGGATGGTAGTCTGGAAAATAACATAGTAGGCAACAGATGGGAAAAATCTTGAATATGCTAGAGGAAGAAGAAAATGTATAGATGCATAACTTTGGTGGAAAAAAACTAGCTAAAATTGATTTCCGGAGGATAATTAGATATACAAAATAAACTTCATCTCTTACTATTAATAGCTAACACCTAGTGAAGTTTTACTATATTAAGGACTTTATCTGTAGTGTCTCATTTAATCTTCATATTCATGGATAGCAACTACCTTTATCCTTAGTTTGCTGATGCAGAAACCAAGACACTGAAAGATTGAGAGGCTGGTTTTGGAGACAGAGACAGAATTTAATTTCAGAGCTTGGTTGTATACTAAAGCATCACGCTATTCATCATCAGTGATTCTTAGAGTTGATGTAGATCAGATTCTCCTGGGAAGCTCTGAAAAAGTTTTTCTGTGAGGACCCATGACCAGAGATTTTTGGTATGAAGTAGACATATAAGCATTGGGATTTTCAAAAAGCTCTCCAGAGATTCTGATGTGCAGAGTTGGGACCTTTAGTTTACATATTAGGAGGCAGAATTATAAACTTTACATTTTCTTTGTAAAGTGGTATTTCATTCTGATATTCAGAAAAGATGGCATAGTTGGAGAACTGACAAGAAGGGCCATTAAGCCTTTCTGAAGGCCATGCTGACAGAGAACCCACAACAGTATTTATTTGAATTTTCCATTTCATGGAAGAGGGAGTGGGAGTCTATGGCCTTCATCTCGTGTCCCTGACCCTCTAGTACTATGAGATCATGAGAGCTGGGTTAAGAGTAAGAAAGGGGAACAAAGGGCCATCCATTCCCTGAGTAGAGCTTAGCTGTCTTCCCAAGAAGGCAGGGTTCATAGTCATTCCTAAGAGATTAGTCCTGATCCCCCAGAAAAGTTAGGGAAACCTCTTGGGCCTCAGTCCATGCCCCTTGGGATGTGTTGAGGCTCTGCATTATTAGGATAAGGATGGGACCTCCCAGATTGAAGTGGTCTGTGAGGGGCTGTGAGGAGCCCTAATATGATCACAAATGAAGAGCCATAGCCAGACAGGTACCATTCTAAACAGCTTCTGGTATAATGTTTGCAGTAGGGGAGAATAGTTGTATTTTCAGTGGATTATCTTCATTTATTTCTGGTGTCACTTTTTAAATTCAGAGCTTGTGTTGGTGGTCAGTGATTCAGTAAAAGAAATGCATCTGCATTTCCATAGCCCAGTAATGTGTAGTAGTAAAAATCATTTACTAGCTAGTTTCATTTGCTTGACTAAGAGAAGACCTTTTAATTTTAAGACTTAGGAAGAAAAAAACATAAACAAGACCATATTTTTCTTCTGTGGACGCTGGACCAAGTTTGGTCTTTTTTACTACATTTTTATGTACACAAACATGTTATCTAAAGGGAGTGATGATAGTTGAGTAACTAAAGCTAAAACTCACTCATTTTACATCAGAGAGTAACCAAATACATTAACAGATTAGGATTCCTTTTGACTGCTATGAATTAGAACTCCTTTGTAGAGACAATATGAATAGCTATTGAACTTTCTTCTATTGTATATTGTTAGGACTCTGTACAGAGAGCAGCAACACATCTTGAACTGGCTTAAGCAAGAAAAGACGCTGGGCTCTCCATGCAGGTGGTGCATGCCTGTTATCTCCCTTTCTTCATTTTTTTCCCCCTGCCTCTCTCTGCATATCAGCTTCATTTTTGGCTTCACTATAGACTACCTTCCTCTCTTTGTCAAGTCAGTAATGGAGTGTAGTTGCCAGCATCTCCTGTATAGCTGAACACAGAAACTCCTGTCTCTGTCCTAACCTCTGAATTTCTAGAGATGAGATCTGATTGGCCAAGCCTGGATCATGTTCCTAAACTCTGGCCCTATTAACTGTGAGCAGTGGTATAGGGAGTACTTGGGAGGATGGTGGCTCTTCCTATAGAAATCAGCTAAACAATCAGGCAGCACATACACTAAAACTTGGAAGAAATCAGGTAAACAATGAAGAAGAGTAATAATGTCCAGAAGAGAGGCATGCTGGGCAGACAGACATTCAAGAAGTATTCTTAGTATAGCATCAAACTGAGCATAAGCTTGAAATAAAGGCCTTTATTAAGACTACTAGTAACTAGAAATACTGGGGTGTTTTTTCTTAATTCCTTACATTTCTTACCAGTTGTAACTACCATTTCTCCTTGTTGCTGGCTGTAATCCAGGTATCAGGTCTTACATAAAGTTATACATTTAATGTTAAAGCTTGCAAATAAAACCTTATTTAATGAATCTGATAATTGTTATGCCCCGCTGTGAATGTTGATGAATTTGTAAGACAAAAATACACTTAATTTGTCTATTGTTTAAAAATCCAAGATATTCATTTAACTGCTGTTAAAATAACCATTTTTATATTTTGTCTTAGCTAAATAAAGAAAATAAAACACTGAAGAGAATCAGCATGTTATACATGGCCAAGCTGGGACCAGATGTAATAACGGAGGAGATAAACATTGATGATGAAGATGCTACCACAGACCCAGATGTTGCTGCTGAGACTTGTATCTCAGTACAGTGTCAGAAGCAGATCAAAGGTGAGACTTGTGGATCAATTATTGAGCATGGTTTTTACTCCTTTTAGGACATTGCTTGTCAACCTTGGCTGCACAATGTTGGCTTACATCACGATGATGTGAGAACTTTTAAAAATACTGATGTTTGGGTGCCACCATCAAAAAGTTCTGATTTAATTGCCCTGGTGGGAGCATGGGTAAAAATCAAGGTCATAGCACTTGTTCTTTGTGAGTTGCTTTCTTGTTTGGAATTAGGCATTTTTATTGTTGTTGGGTTTTTTTGGTACCAGGGATTGAACTCAGGACCTTGCGCTTGCAAGGCTGGCTCTGGAACCACTGAGCTAAATCCCCGACCCTAGGCATTTTTGAAAGTGTTGTCTCGACAGAAGCAATCAGTTAGACCATAACCTTAAGAATACGAATCATGTATTAAGATAGTTTTGTTAGAAGAAAGAATTGATAACAATATAGTTAGCCAAGGCTGGGTGACTAGGGGTGTAGCTCAGTGGTATGGTGTAAATTTAGCCTGTGTGACTCCCTGGATTCAGTCCTCAGTACCAAAATATGCGTGTGTGTGTGTGTGTGTGTGTGTGTGTGTGT